TGGGTTTTTTGAAATGGGAGGATCAGTACAGTTATAACTTGGGGCATTACAGCGTTGTCAGTCTGTTTTCATTAATTTACAAGGAAATTACTAATTGTTTGTATAAAGACTGGTTTCAGGCTGCATCCATTTTCTAAGAGCTTCATTTTTACAGGGGAAATATTTCAGCCTCTGACTCTGCAAGACAAGTAGGCCTGTGCATAGTCCTTTACAGAAACAAATGCAAAGTGTTTATTAGGATCTAGCTGCAGGTTAATTGCCTACAATTTATTGTCAAGGTTTAAGTCCTAGACTTCAGTGTAATCCTCTAACAGTAAGGCATCTCAAAGTGATATTGTTCTAAAAGCTATTAGGGAATTTCATTGAAATCAACTCTACCTGGAACCCTCCTGCATCACTTCTTTATAAACACACGTATCTATTTTTTTTCTTTTTAAAAACATGCCTCTCATTTTAACATTATGGTTCTAGAATTCCAGCTTTTTCACACTTCCTATGTTACTTAGACAATCTATTCCTCAGGGTACAGACTTATGGTACTTATGGTACTTATCCTCAGGGTACTTATCTTATTTTTTCAGTGTTAAGAGACAAGCCTATATAGAATCTAGCACCTCTCCCTTGACTGGGACTTCAAAGCATTCGCTTTTTAAAAGCAAGCAATACATTACAGCTTGCCAGTATAGTACAGCTGATTCTTCAGATGACATAGCAGAAAGATACAGTGTGTGACATTGTCCTTGGGACAGCTGGAGTTATTACAGATAATGTGATGGCCCTGGCCAAAATAACATAAGCTATATATTTATAACACACTCACACATGTTATTTCATTTACAGATTTGTTTGGTATGAAGAAGCAATTCTTTGAACATGCTGTGGGAGCAATGAGATATATATAACTATCATCAAAGGTTTTCTTGCTGCAGCCAAGCACTAAATATCAAACTTCTTTGAGGTACCCTTTACAAGAACCCTGGCTGATTTTTTAAAAGAATAAATTGAACAGGTTCTACAGAACAAAAAACAAAACCAAATACACTGTAAAAAAAATTACCATAAATAATACCATTCAAGTGGTTAAAGTGTGTGAAAGTAGAGCATTAAGGTTAAATAGCACTCTCCTGTTCTTTGGAAGTCTTATGTGTGGGGACAGGTAATTTGATTAAGCCAGTCTATATGCAACAGAATCACCCAGAGGAAAAAAACCACACCTTATAATTAATACTGACCACTTTATAGAAGCCATTCTTTTATTCATTGTTCAGGCAGAGGGTGTATGATGACCTCGGATTACTTCCCGCCCAAGCAAAGCACAAAATTGGATCTATTGCTAGGTATGAATGTAATAGGACAGGTGGAGTACAGAACATCAGTTCTCCACACACACTGGATTTTCATGTCATAAGGACAATCTACTTTGAGATAATGTAAAGAAAGTAACATATTGCTATGGAAGGAAGCAGATGAAATGGTATTGTTCATATGTCATCTTAAGCAGACATGCATGTGACCTTCAGATTACGATGTTTTCAGGTAAGCTGTTAGAAGCTCTGGTGCAATAACCACTGCATTAGCTTTGGGAGGAGAAATTCCTTGTGTCACCAGAGATATAGCTGCTAGTCTTACTACTGTTACAAATTAACAGTCTGTTCCAAATTCTCTTTGGAGTCGAAAGAAAAGCTTCCGTTAACTGTATGGGGTTTTGCAATAGTGTCACGACATAGCAAAAAAACCCATTCACTGAGCAGGATGGACTAATAAATGTTCCTCTCTCCCTCAGTCACCGGCATGTGCTTCCACCGAGCTCTGCAGTCCTTCTAGGTTGCTTCCAGTACAATTTTAGCAGACTGCCTTGTGTGTGGATAGGAGAGATCAGTTCACTCCTGTCTTGTTGAAAAGATGGTGTATACACAGGGTGGCTGAAACTATAGCCGGGAGCTGGCAAGGCATTTGTACTGGCCATTGGTTTATGATGCTGTATTTTGCCTATTGGCATCTATTATTCTCAATGACTGAGAATTCTGTAAAAACTTGGGGCTGAGCTAGCACATTGGAGTGTCACAAAATAAAGCAAGTAGAAAATTCCCATCTAAACTATTTGGTTTGAGAACATGACCTAGATTCCAGTACCCATGGCTACATGGAGAGGAGCTTTTTTATTTCTCGTTATTGTATAATCAGATTCAAAATCATTACAGTACACTGATTCTCATAATAAGAAACACCCTCTAAGTGATTTGGTATGTTGCAGATTCTTTTCTATTTGTATTCTGTGTGTTGTGATGTTAGGTGAAAGCGTCTGGGAAATAGGAATAGAGACCACAATCTACAGGCTCAGTTTTGATCCATGGCAAAACTGCTGTTGATAATGGTAATGAATAAGTGGGCTCTTACTTTTCCATCTCTAGGATCCTGGACAAACACTACCATACTAAGTTTTTTCTAGAGGCAAGAGCTGCAGTATGTAGAACTGCTTAGAACAACAGTTTTCTTTTGGAGTCTTTTTTGCTCTGCCTCTTTCTTTTTAATATATTCTTTTTCTACTTCCTTCCTTATGGAAGCTTAGATCTGGTACTCCAGCTCATCAAGGCCACTCCAGCACAGAGGTCATTTTAAAAGCTGGCAGGTGAAGACACTAGAGAATTTCTTTTGCAGTTGGTCAGAAATAAAAAAGGTAGAGTTGTTTACGGTCACCTGTGCACTCTTTCTTTAGACATGCTGCAAGCATGGCTCAGCTGCTATGAAAACAGCAGTTCTCATGAGGTCTCAACAGCTATTATAGTGGTTTGTTTTACAGAAACACAGTTGATTAGAAACTTGTTTTTTCTTGTGCTTGCTACAAGTGAAATGGAATTTGTTTAGGTGCCATATTCACTTGGACCAGGCTTTTCTGCCAAAATACTGCAATGATCTTTTCCTATTAGCAAGGAACTTCCTCTTCAAATGAATTTGCAATATGTTACACTCGTTTTCTTGCTGTTTCTACAGAACAGCAGTAACTGCTTTGATTACTGTCAACATCATGTTGATTTATTGAAAACTGTTCTCTTTCTAAAATCTGATTAAAAAGACACAGGTCTTGGAATTCCAGCCTATGGCTTTTCACTCCTCCTGTATTTCTCATGGTTTTGAATAGGGAAGGATATCCATTTGTGTCCCCTTTTGCTTATTACTCCCATTAACCCCTAGAGTTGCTATTTCCAAGTCTTGATGAAAAGAAAATATGGACTCGGTGAACAACTCTCACTTCTTTCAGTAGAAAGGTTTGTACAAAGAGTTTTATCACAAGCTATAGAGTGCAATAGTATGTACTTCCTCTAGCCATCTGTGCAGTCACAGGTGCACTCAAGTGCTCCAGTATGTCAGCTTGTATATAAGACATGATATATATGAATTCTGCAGGTTCCAGGTTTCCAAAAGTCTCAGAGGATGTTTGAAACCGTGTGGCTCCTTTACCTTCTGGGCCAGTTCCATAGACAGCAGGTTTCAAAGGTCTGCAAAGCAAGTTGCCTCACCATCTGGTATACATCGCCAGTGCACTCCAGGCTCAGAGAAAAAATGTAGCATGTATGCAGGTGGCAGTTTGCCTAGAGGAAACCATTCAGCCTTGGGCATGCTGACTGTTGTCCTATTCTGCTGGCAGCTTTTATTACTTTGTCAGTGAGAGGAGCATGAGAAAGAGGGAAAGCAACAGAACTTTAAGCAAATATGACAGATACAGGATGGCTTTTAGGGATCAAAATTTAGTACAATCATCATTACAAGGTCAAGTAAGTCAGGGTGATAATTGGATCCATAGTAAACTTAGCTAAAACTCCCTCTCAAATCAACATAACAGCTGGGCTTGATCCAGATAACCAGTCAGGTTTGCACCACTCACCCTAGAAGCCTGGGTTTAATAGTAAAACATCATATGTCATAGCTATTCAGCCACAAGAAAAATGGGATTCACAAAAGCAGACGAAATCTTATCGTCATGCATCCCTTACTTATAGTGATATAATGGTTATATGGTAAAGCTGTGTGATGGAAACGCCCTATACACTGTGTGCACACAGCAATGCAGAGTCAAAAACTGGGAGTCCATTCTGTGATCATTAGCAGACGCAGAGTAAAAGTGTATCAAGTAAACCAGCAGCAGTTCTCATGTCATTAATACACAATTCTTCTATTTCCCCTTTACATTCATATCCTTAATAGCAAGATAAAAGCTATCTTGCCAACAGCCATACAGACTTAATTCACTTCATTATTTGTTCCATTCTAGCCCTGTTAATATACTCTCCTGATTTTCCCCTGTTGTGAATGGAGTTGGGCATATGCAGTGAACTGTATGCTTTTACTGTCCAGTATCAAACTATATTCTCACCAGTTTTTAAATTTGGATTTTTTTGCTTTCACTATGAAGAACCCAGCTCTAGGCATTCTTCAGTAACGCATAGAGGAATAATACTTGCTAGTCTGCATGTCCTTATGACAGTCAGAGGAAAAGGTGAAAGCAGGTCATAGACAAACAAGCATCCATTAAACCTAACTGTTGTTTTGACCAGAAGAAAAAGACAACTGTAGGTTTGGAACTACACGGAAAAAAGTAGTGTAGAAGGCACCAAGGTGTGGAAGGAACTTCAGTATCCCAGTTACCCTGTTTCAGAGTCAGAATTTGTGTTCAGATGGAGTAGCTGGGAAGTGCTTCCAGGTCTCCAGATTTAGATGCATCCAGGGTTCAACATTCACTTTTTAAAATCCTCAGAATCATGGTCCTAGGCCATACCTGACCTCCTGGAAGACTGAAGGTGAAATAACTTAATTTCCAGGAGCCACTCAAGGGGGTTGTAACAGCTTTTGAATAGTGACAGATTGTGTTCCATTTTTTCCTGAATTTTGTACAAATTCATAAACCTAGAATCATCCCTAAAACTTTTCTTCAGTCATTCAATCTCAAACAGAAGGATTCATCAATATTCCACTGATTTGTTTCCCTTTCCTCTTCTTTGCAGGTCTCCATGAAATCCAGTGTTCCCTGCCTGTAGAAAATAGAAGAATCTTTCTGAACGAATTATCTGAGGTCAGCTTTAGTGAATGCAAATTTAGTTTGTCATTGACGGACCTTTTTATCATCATCTTCTCTGGAGTTGCAGTATCCATTGCTGCTATTCTATCAAGCTTCTTCTTAGCAACTCTAGTACACTGCTTCCAAAGATGCGCTCCCAGTAAAGATGACGATGACGATGAAGACGACAGTGAGGACTGAACTTAGTCTATATACTTAAGGTTCCTTGATTTATAAGTTACTAGATCATCAGCCAAAGTCTAGGAAGAAAACAAGTAGAGGAAAAGCTTTAAACATGAATTAAATGAAATCACAATGTGTAAGGATCCCTTCTAATCTCATGACGGTCACAGGTAGGAATTGCAGTTTGCATCTGAGACTGTTAGCTTTGCTTACATATGTAACCTGATGCAATGAGACTAGGTTAATTTCTATGATCCTTAATCAAACACTGCATTTAAATTTGAAGATTGGAGGAAAAAGGGGGAAAGGCCAAAAAAAAGTTCCAGTGTTTTAGAAGACTAACTCACGGCTTCCAGATTGTCCTTCTGATGAGATGCAGATTCCTGTAAGTGCTTAATAGCTTGTTCTAAATGCACTTTGAAAAGGACTAGCATTTCAGCTGGAAAATATGGAAGCAATTTAAAATAGTGTCCTTCCTAGATCTAAGTAGTGGGAGAGTCTATTAAGCTCACACAACTTTATAAGTAACAAAATGCAATTAAAATGATTCCTAGAATTGTAGAAAGCATTATAGGAAGGTTGGCATTTTCTCTCTACAAATGTTCGCTATAAACATTCATCCTCCATTTAATGACAGCAGTTGCAGGCATCATTCAGGCAAAAAATTTTTTTTCTGTAAGCGAATATGATTCTAGGTCTGAGTCATCCGCTGCAGCTGCCTGGCACCTCTTTGGTCATGGCACAAATACTAAATATAACATTCTTTTGCATTTTTAGATGCAATGAAGTAAAGGATTTCCCTTCCCTGTAATGCTAGGCACAAATAACTGTTGCAGTATCCAGTCCATTTAGTTATTTTAAAACGCTAAGGGCTATATTCTGCTCCTGATTATACTAGAGTAACACTGAAGTGAACACAGTGATCCAAATTGGCAACTGCATAAACAAGAGTGGAATCTGGCCCAAGATGTTTCTGACTGTATTATAGATTTGTCAAAACTTGAGCTCTTCTATATAACGGTAGATATTTTTGTTAAAATTAAAAAAGACATTTACTACAAGAGATTTTTGGAATAGTGCTGGAAAGCTTTTTAGGATAAGTATATTTTTAAAATATTTGTAATGGAAATATTTTTTTAAAGCTCTGTGTATTTAAATTATTATCTAGAGTAGCTGTGAGGGCTTAAAGTAATTAATAACATAGTAATAAACACTCTAAGGACTGTACGCTATTATAAAAGAATTAGATCTGATAAAAAGTAGCATCTATTTAAGCACTGTAAATACTATTATTTCTTAAAAAACACTCTTTGGTTAAAATATTGCCTTGCTCAGTTAATAATGAATGCTCTTTTATGGACAGTTAATTCCAAATCTCTTGTATCTGTTGTGCTAATTGTTCAGGCAGACAGGATTGAATTATACTGTGTGTGTTAAGGGGTAATATGGTCCAGTAGGTAGGGTACAAGATTAAGACTCAACACCCCTGGGTGTTGTCCCCATCTAACAGTGATCAGCTAGAAGACCTTCAGCAAATCACTATCTGTCTGTGCCTCAGTTTTACTACCTATAAAATGAAGATCATAGTAACTGTTTATCTTTTTCAAGTGCTTTGAGATGTGCAGTGGGAGGGCACTATACTGGGGCTATGTATAATGATTATATATGTTAGGGTGAAGATGTTATGCAGTAGGTCTAATTTGATCTCATGTAAGTATGTCTTCACTGACATCCATGGAGTTACTCCATTGGCTAACAGACTTTGCAATGGAGTTTGCACCATGCTGAGGTCAAAACCAGGACAAGAGTGTTTATTTCTGTTAGTTCTACAGCATATTCAATGCGACTTAATGCTACCATTGTTAAGATTATTATTTCTAAAAACACATTGAAACAGAATTAAGTAGGACAGTGAGAGGATATTCTGTATCAATACTGTCTTATTCTATTCTGATTCTTTCAAGAAAAATGAAATGACATGACTTTCACTGTGTAGTGCCATGATTATAAATAACACAAATATATTTATAATTTCAACATGGGCTTTCATGTTTATTTGCATGTGGGTATGAAAAAAGGAGAAAAACCGTGCCTGATTCTCTCATCATTTATAAGCGGGGTTTTGCATTATGGCTGGAAATATACAACTTGTTGCCTGGTGCGGTTCATGAAATACCCTCCCTTTGCAACAAATACGGATATGTTATCAACAGTTTTATATTTAGAGCTATGCAAATTGGTCAGTCATGGAACAAGAAACTGGGTCACACTTTTTTGTCCGCAAGTTTTATTATGGCCTCAAAACTTGCAATCAGTTAGCAAAACGATTTGTCTTACCAAACTGTGAGACATCAGTGAATGTTTCAGCAAATGTCTGCCCTTCCTTTGGTAATGAATTTATGGTTTTGTTTCATTATCCTGTAAAGCTGAGTAATTTTGCAGAGGTCACATCTCAAACTCAACTATTTTGACTGGGTTCTGCTCTTACTTGCAGGTTCATCCTACTGTGGTGCCTCAAAATGAAGATCTAGATTTGTTTATAGTTTGTAGCTTTTTGTCCAACCCAACATAAAGCCCTGAAAGCACTGATTATATTTGGAACTTAGCACCCCTCAGAACAGCAAGGAACAGACCAAGCTGACACCCACATAATCCAGTGCAAGCTGAAGAGCAAAGCTTAGTAAAGCTTTATTTATGAACTGCCATTCTGGATACTCCATCACATCAAAGTGATTTTGCAAAGTATGTTTTTTTCTGCATAAGAAACTTCAATATTTTCCCCTACTAAGTAATGTATATTTCTTAAGTATTGAACTCATCCAGTTAGTAATATTTATTCATTGTAAGCATCAGCAGTTACCTACTATTAATACTGATTTTGCATAATTCTAATTGCTAGTAAGTGAGACAGAACTTGGATTTAGTTCTTACTGGAATTTTCTTTATTTTATGTAATCTTCAGAGCAAAACATTCTCCTCTTGGAATATTGCCAGAACTAGTGATCACCATAATGATCCCCTGCAAAACTTTGAAAGCAAATTTCATCATGAATAGAAAGTGGCCTGAAGGCTGCATTATTATTGCAGTTTTACCTCCACAAATGTAGTAACATGGAGGTAATCCCATCTCCAGTTTTGTGGACATAGGAAGTGTTCCTGTGCAAGGATGGTTCTGTGGGGGGGATTTAGTGAGTCTGCACTCCCTTCTCAGACTGCGGTAACCCCCATTAAGATTAGTGAAGTTACAATGGTGCCAAGTATAAAAGCTGAATTTAGCTCCCTGTGCAATACATCACTAGCTCAAGAAGCACTGCCTGTAGGTGATTATAAATGTGCAGTGGAAAGTTTGTCCTCATTTACAATTTTCCTTCTAAAATGGCTTTACTTTAGTGGTGGTATCTCTCACTGTCAGAAATGAGCAGACATTTTACCTGCTTCAAGGGGAAGGAAAGATACTATGCGTGACCCAAATAAAATGTTGCAGGCTCAAAGAGCCAGGAAGCAGCTGTCACATTGCCTGCAGATATGTCTCCTTGATGAAATGCTGGATCTTGGTATGTGTGAGGATCAAAAAAATGTGCAGGAAAGCAAATTTGCATGATGTAATTGAGATAGAGTCTGACTTTTTAGAAGCATGTCCATTGGTTTAAAAAAACTCTAATCCACAGAATATTAAAATAAAGATCACCTGAAGTGACTGTCCAAACCTAGCATTTCATCCTCAGTCAGCCAGCATCTTTTTGAGGCAGCTTCAGTCCTGCTGGGATTCTTACTCAGAGGTGAATATTAATGGATCATTTTTTAGAGCAGCATAAAAATGCATTGGGAAAGTACCTTGAAGGGATGGTTCTGAAAGCTCATGAAGAGGAGCATACTGTTTGCCTACCTCAGATATATAGTAGAGTGAACCATTGTACATTGACAGCTAGAATTTAGCCTGGCATACTAAGAGGTGACCAAAAATGGTCACGTCTTTCGGCTGTGGGAAGAACTGTGTGCAATCACCTATATATGTGAACAGGGTGATATAGGGAGAAGGTGTGTGTATAACAATACTAGAGCTTGCTGTAACTATCACCCCTGTAGACAGCCCCAGTGGAACAGCTGAAGCCTGATGGGGATGCTGAGCCTGAGACAGTCCTTCATCCCTAGCAGAGGTTCCTCTGTGCTGGCTTTCAAACCCACGGGAGCAACTCTGTGCAGGACCTTTTACTGATTCAGCATGTGCTGCCTACCTGCTACGTGAGTAAATTACTTTCGTTTCCGGGGCTGCTAGCTGGCACATTTCTAAGTTCAGCTCATGTCCCCCAAAATAAAGGAGCAGGGTTTTTGATAGCTTCCGAATCTGACCATTCCTCTCAGAGAACCATGTTCTCCTTTGTGGTGTCACCTGTTTTGCTGACCTCTAGTGGCAACTGAGATGCTTTACTGTGGAGGTAAGTCATCGTCATTCATTGTGGTGAAGGTGATGGTGAAATGCTGAATCCTTGCATACTCCTTCCAAAAAGAAACCAGAAATAAACATTAGGAAATTAAATTTCTTGGAGAGTAAGGTCTGCAATGGAGTGCGAAGCAGCCTGTAATATGCATGAGCCACCAGAAACATTTATTTCATGTCCTATCTATTAACATTGGAGCAATACAACCTTGTCATAGAATTGTAGAAAATAGCTATAGAAGAACCTCAAATACATTATCTAATGATAGCTGATGCTTTGTAATAAAAATACTTGTTTTTCTAATCAGATTCCTGCTCTCATCTTGCCATCATCTTCCCCATTATGTCTTGGTTTCTGTATCTTCATATCTTGACTGTATCTAGAACAAGAGAGTGCCAGTTTGGTACAGCATGGTACAGCAATACAAATCACCAACAGCAATAACAACTAGCAGACTAGGAAAAACACAGTTTTGTTTATGTTGACCAACTATCCATCCATGATTGTAAAGAGCTGGCAGGAAAAAACTGTTGAATTTTACGCTGACAGAGCGCGCAACAGGAGACCTTCTGTTGCAAA